GTGTGGACACGTGGGGGGGGGGGGGGGGGGGGGGGGGGGGGAATGTATACATAATTATGAAATATCCACTTAATGGTCAGGGAATGTGAGCCATGCATAGATCTGTAGAAGTTTTCTGGTATTTTTGACCATATGACAGATCTGATATTCTATTTGTCGTATTTCTGTTTTGCATAAAACTGAAGAATATTCAGTACATTCTATACTGTATTCTAAAATGATCTGATATTAACTTTTGCATGGATTTTATTGAAAAGAGCTTAGGCTCATGTAACCAGAAGATTTAAGATATGAATATGCTTTTCATATACAATATAATAGGTTTTTCTTGCCTCATGGGTTTAACATTATCTTAACAAGCAAAGCAATTCAACATTAATTTCACGGTGTGTCTGTGAAACTTTGAGGTACCATCATAGTTTCATGCACGCGTGAACATCATGGCAATGTACAACACAAAGTACCTCACGCAGGAAACACTTAAAGTGCAAATGCGCATAACTAACAAATCAAGCAAGCTAGTTTGCATAGGCCACGAAGTGTTGGCGAAATAACACATTAGCGGACCAGAGGGAATATGGAATTTTTTCCAGAAAATAAATAAATTCAAGCACTTTCAAAGACCTGTATCAATGCATGTTTATTTTCACCAACTTTCAAGGAACCCTGTTCCCAATAGTACTGTACTTAAAGATAAATAAATAAAAGAACATCTTCGAGCCAAAACTTTAACAGTAGTGTAGGCATATTTCTAGGAACGTATTATATTGTAATACAACAGCTAATTATAAAATAGATTTTCCTACACTCATGTAAGATTCTATTCTAAGTGCATTTTAGAATATTAAATGCAGGAGGGGGCTTACATTATTCTTGACGTTGGGTTTCATGCTGATGGTGCCAAAGATCTCCTCTCCAGTCTTAACCGTCAGATAGTCATCAAGGTAGAACACAGTCTGCTTCCAATGAGTGTAAGGAGACTCTGGGCCTAAAAGACAAATGCACTTTGTTTTTCAAGGGTTCATTTATAATTTAAAAACTCATGGTGAAAAATGTGTGGTAGAGAGAGAGGGGGGGGAAAAAAAAAAGAAAAGAAAAAAAGCACTCACTAGTAGAGAAGCCTGTCCTTTTGTGGCAGCGAGTGAACTCTATGTTAAAGTAGGTTACCAGCGCATGAATGTAGTCATTCCTTTTCACCTGCAGGCAGAAAGGTGACGTGAAGGACAGGTCCTCAATCTTCACTGTGTAGATGTCCACCTCCTAATGAACCAAGAGAATCAGTAGGGTTGAAAAAAAATAAGCAAGCAGGGGTTATATAAAAACCAAACACTTCATATAATTTGAGTATATGATTATGAGTAATTGACAATTTTGAGTAAACTAACCTTAATGAGGCAGGCAGTACTAACGAGCTGTTTGGGGTCAACAACATCCACTAGTGGCTCCTTAATGGCCACTTCCTTGATACAGGACATATCAAAGCCATAAACGTTCTCCCACCCTGAAAATGCAAACAAAACAAAATAAATGAAATGGTGTCTTATTTCACATTGATCACAGATATGAATGTGTAGTTGTACAACTACTCATGAAACATGGACCAGTAAGACTGTACCTCATGAATACCAAAGTGTGCATAGGAATCAAAGTAGTAGTCTTTGGAGGTCATGTCTTCTGCTGCAGGTTTTGCCGAACTCTCTCCCTGGGACACCTATTAAAAAAAAAATCATTATACACTATGAAAAAGTATAAGATTTTAAGATTAAGATTAGGCAGTGTATTTTGTATGTTAAATACAATTTTGAAAAGTTATCAACAGAAGACAAAAACCCAGCTAGACAAGGTGGTCAATAAATCTGTTTTGTTGCTAATTGTGAGGAATTCTGTACAATGCTTCAACATTTTGTGGGGTCTCAAACGATTTGTATATGCGCAAATTTTAACAAAGGACAAAACTTATGTCGGTCACGCATGACTTTCATTGTAACGAATCGAATAAAGGATTCGATACTTGCTAGCCACAAAAGAATCACTTGTCGGCACCAACTGTAACCTGTAGAAAGATTTACTGACGAATAAAGAACAAACCTTTTTGGTAAATGGATTCAAAAGATTCAAACCACTGTGACCAATCAAAATCCGCTACTACTACTACTACTGAGCAAATTCTAGACCAGCATTGCCTCTTTAAAACCAGTTAAGACAATTCATGGTAGTTCAAACTCATGAACGTATTTTTACCCGCACAACTTTAAATTCATTTGAGAAGCAAAGATGCGGTATTCTCGCCTTTTAAATGAGACTAATCGTTTTTATAGTCAGAAGACCTGAAACTTTTTAACAATGCACGTGGGCAAAAACGTGGTTGCGAAAAAACACTGAATTGGCCACACCGCCAATTACAGCAATCTGGTTACTAATAACGGATTAATCGTGAACGAAGCTGTAATAAGTAATCGAGTAGATCACAGCCATCAGGCTGCGGTGTCCCGTCCCATGCGGTCTCGTACCCAACAATAAGTCATTCAAGCAGCCGCCAGCGTGCTCTAAATGACCCTCATGGAAGCTGAACGAGGAGCTAGCTAACAGGACACAGATATTACTAAATCCAGTTCCATAATACATCAATTGGTTACACGTAGCATAAAAAAAGCTCTGTATTAACTCATTTTAGCCAACTAGCAATAGCAGACACGTGCTGCTAAATGAATGAATTATTCGCGGCAGGCTAAAATGGATGCTCAAGATGCGTGTGCGCACATTTCTACCCACCTGATAACTACATACGCAGCAACCAAACCCGTTAAACGACTACAGAATCGTAGTTTAGACGTAACAAAAAAAGTTGGCATATTAATTCTAACTACCGTACATATGTTTGCCATCGGATGTGTTCTAGGCGAAATGGCCTTGAGTGGCTCCAGCTTACCTCCATTCTGTCTGCTGTCTCCGCCATTTCGGTAAACTGGATTCCACGACGACTGAAGCAGCACAGCTCATGTAAAACACACTTGTTTTGCTCCCGCCTCTTTGCCTTCACTAAATGATTTGATTGGACGGCAATCATGGGATTCACTGTAGGCCCCGCCCACTTTCTTGCAGCTCTCCGTCATAGGCTCAACTTCTTGGCATTTTTTCCTCTCTTTTGAAACGTGACTTTCATTGGATCAAACTGTAGCGCGATCACTAATTTATTATTTCATACAAATGTTAAATTGCAGGTTATTTGAGAATTATGATTTCATTCTTTTCAGGTAAGCTAGTTATGAGGGTTGGACTGATGTAAGTGACCATACGTTTACAAAAACGTTTTAGCAAACTATATAATAACATCCATCTATCTATCTATCTATAGAGAAAGAAAGAGAGAGTACTGACCAAACTAAAACAGGTCAAAAGAAAAAAAAACCTTAAGCACATTAGATATAGACACATAGATAACTCCAAAATTAAAAGCCTCTCCTCGTGTCTCGCTAGAATTTTAATGTTTAATTTTAATTTTAATTTCTTTCTTTTTTTTCCCTGTTGAAGATGAGAAAATATTTTGAAAAATGTCCCAGTGATTTTTGTTCTTACAATCATAATAAATGTTGTTTAAACCACAACATTCTTGAGAATATTTTCTATTTTGTATTTTACGGAATAAAAAGGTCATACAGTTTGGAATAACGTGGTGAGTATATGGTGACAGAATTTTGTTTTTGGATGAACTATCCTTTTAAATCAAACCGAGCCATGAGAAGCCTATTTGCCAAAGATGCTACTACCCATTAATGTTAAATGAAGATGCCTTGAGAACAGTGTGCATTCACTGATAAATTGTAACAAATATAGATATTAGTTTACCGTGTACAGGATGATGATGATGTATCATCTAATATATTATGGGGTAATTTGCTAGTTTAGTTGCACAAAACTGATAGGTGCCGTCTTGATCAAAGATGATAGAGTTATACGATTAACTTATATAAATATTTGTTTATCCCACATTTTGCTACAAGTTTGATTGCATCATATAATAATTGCTGTTAATAGTGTTCATCGTCTGTTTGATTACATCTTTAATTGATTTTTCCGTACATTTCTGCCATATGTACATTAACTGACAGTCACCACTGATAAGCTACCACTAAATATTGTAGAAACTTCACTTGCTGTAAAGTTGCTTTGCAACGATTTGTATCGTGAAAAGCGCTATACAAATAAACTTGAATTTAATTGAATTCACACAATCAATATCAAACTATTTCAATAATCAGCTTTACACATGAAAAACCAGTCGTCAAATTTAATTAGTGTAATTTACAACCTCTCTTTTAGCAATTTATCACCATTCCCACACACTTGCACTTTGATACTTTCAACAGCGTCGATCTTGTCTTCAAGCCAATTAAAATGGTCATAAAATGTAACTGACGTATGAACGGACAAATGGTGTACTGAATGACAGTAAACTAGCCAATCAGGAGCAGGAGAAGCGGGGCTGGAGGCGGGACATGTGGGGAGGAAGCGCTGGAGCGAGCTCAGTGCCCGTTCTGTCACGAGCTCCGTCCGGGTACAGCGACCGAACGAAAAGTCTCGTACATTATTGACGGCTAATTATAGTCGACAGCGATCTTTTCCTCGAGAAACAGGTCTGTCAGATTAGTTCGTCAGCTAGCAGGATTCCCCGCTGTCCTATCGCGGTCAATTGGGTGATGTATTCTAACATTTGATTGAGCTAGCCAGCTCGCTAGCTGTTTGGCTAGCTTGCCGTGCGTGACTAAAAGTCAGAGAGGAATCAATTTTTATTTTAACGCCATCGACATATAGGCGCGTAATCATAAATTAAAAACAACACGGTGGCTTGTTTTTTAATTAGTCATTACCGCAACGTAAGATCGTGCCTTTCCATCGTTTTCCCATTGACGAGAGTTCACGGGATTGAATGAATTAGCCAACGGAAACAGCAGTCGCGCTGACTTCCCAGCTTCTCTCTCACCCACTGCATCCACCTCTTTTCTTCATAAACACCCGCGGCTACATTATTTGTGTGCACCTCTGAACATCTGAAAGTCATTTGTTTCGTGTTGAAGCCGGCTTGAAGAGAAAAAACGAGCAAACATGCCGGCTGTGTCGAAGGGAGATGGAATGCGAGGATTAGCTGTGTTCATCTCGGACATCAGAAACTGTAAGTGTCCCTGTCACACTCAAACACCATTAGTCATTTTCTTATGTGAACAGCTGTACTGAACTCTTCCTATATACGCCCTAAACTGGATCCAATGGCTTCTGCTTTGCTCCGTGATGCTTTTTAACCAGGATTAAAGGTTAAATCGTGCAGGTCAGATGTGTGGCTCTTGGTAAAGGAGGTCATAAAAGTAATCTCGCCGATCACCCAGGCCCGTTAGCTTTAGCTCCGGTGATGGAGTGATGCTTTATCGCCAGAGAGCCCGCTAGGCCGCCACCGAAAACCGTGTGTTTCACTGCAGATGGTTTATCCAGCATGTCTTGTCTTGTCTCGGTCGCTTTCGTCACCTTGACTAGCGGTTGATATCGCTGCTCGCCAAGAGGACTCGGTTCAGATGTGTTCTTCACGATAATCCAGTTATCAAGCTGTCGCCTTGAGCTCAGCGTTATAGATGTGTCTGTAATCTTCTGCTTCTGCTTATTTTGTACCTCTAATTTTACCTCTTGAATCTTAAAAGGCTTTCTTTGTGTTAGGAGTTTGAGTTCCTAGTAATTTTGTGTAGGTTTAAAGAATGGCTGCAAATAAGATTGATTCTCGTGAGTTTTTTCATCCTCATTTTCTGTTAAACATCTAAAATATGAAAACATGCGTGATTCCAATTCGAAGATAACTTTTTGGGATCAATTTTGTGATATTAGTGATAAATGAGAGTGATTTTTGCGCACAGACTGTGTAATTTGTAGTCTGTGACTTGCATTATATTTTTGTACCACATACACAGTTTTATATATATGGCATGCTGCCTTATTCTTTTACTGGCTCATATATACCTGCATATGTCCACACTTTATTTTAGGCCCTCGTGCATAAAAATGCATGGCTTCTGTACTAAAATGTGTAATGTTCAGGTAAGAGTCATGGCATAGTGGGTATTGCATGTGTTTAAGGAGATGTTGTACTCAGTTGGGGTGTAAATCAGATGTTTTATCACGATATGATCTGACATTAAGCAATGTGATGCTTGCCTGTACCTCAAAACATGCAGTGATATTATTTGATTTGATTCAGGGGCCTGTGATCGATATTACGATGTTATGTGCCTATAATACATAACCAGTTACATTTTTATTAATTCACAAATGCTAACAAAATACAGCATGAACATTTAATTGAACTCTCTGAAAATTGCAAATCGTGTATTCCAATTGGGACATCCACAACAAAAAAGTCAAAAATCAATTACATTTTTTTAGTGATATAAAGAAAAAACAAATGAGTCACACATGAGATCATCAATCGTCTAATGACAGCTCTACAGATAATGAGATAAGTAATGACAACAGTCAAGAAAGTCTTTCAGTCCTCTGTGCTCTCTAAAATGTGCAAAATTAGTATTTAGGACATGCACAACAAAATTAGGTACATAAACTGTTAAAAAAATAAATGTATATAAAAAAAATTTTTTAAATAAAAATTGTCATATCCAATCCAGCCTGAATTGTGTCTTGTCCGTCTGTCTTGCTCTGCTCTCATTTAGTTCATAAACAAAAAATGAATGACTTGTAAACACTATATTATAGAGTTTGTGATGTTAATGGGAACCCCGGGTACCATTTTTTCAATGACGTGAAATGGTTGCACTCGGTGAGCTACTGACGCTACCTGTAGCTACTGAAACACAACTCGAATACACAACTCGCTGCCATAATTGCAACATTAGTGGGTCTGTTGCAATTCTTATAAAACTGGTGGTCACTGCAAATTACATTTTGATGCATTCATCAAAAAGTGGATTTCTAAACGTAGTGTAATTCATTAGTGTCCTATTGGAATCATCAAAACTACAACACCAGTAAAAGCATACGCGCATGGTCAAAGTTAGTTTGACTTGTGCATAGGAAATACATTTTTTTGTGTACATGACATGAGAACCCTGGTAATGACTCATAATACTGGATGATAATAGTATCAAAAAAGACAGAGCAGACAGACACTATATTTCACCAAAATATAATAGTACTTGTATGCAAAGCTGTTCAACATAAGCAAGACAGTTTTTTTTCTTTCTTTTTTTTACATTTGGTTTTATTTTCCTTCTAGCATTATCTCATGTGTCAGCAGTTACGAGGATGTCATCAGATCCCTTCTTGAAAAGTGCATATGCAGTGTTTCCCCTAGGTTTACGGCTTTGGGGGGGGGGGGGGGGGGGGGGGGTTTTTTTTTTTTTTTTTTTTTTTTTTTTTTTTTTTTTTTTTTTTTTTTTTTTTTTTTTCTATAACAAAATGATGAAGTGACTCTCAGAGCAGTTCTGGAGATGTTGTTCATGTATTTATGTCCTCATTAGTGAGACGGCAGAGGTTAATATCACCGGAAGCGTCACGAGCGTTTCAGTACGAGTACTACACAAAACCGCGCCCCCCTAAAATAATGGCAGGGGAAACACTGCACATACTGTATATGCACTGCAGACGGAGTACGTGTGAACTTGGCACAACAAATCTAGTTCAACATCTGAGGCAACGCCACAAAGAGCTCTATGACCAATGCATGTCAAAACCAAATCCCTGGACAAGGGATTTTTTTTTCTGCCATGTCTATTCTAGAGACATTTTGTTACACCTTTACTTAGTGATTATTTTGCCTTATGTCTGTTCTAGAGACATGTTACAGCTTTTTGATAAAGCTCTAGTTGGTTTTCTTTTGGAAATATGTTTCAAGTTCACACTGAATGCGTTAATGACTGAAGCATGTCTGTGTGTCAAAATCGTGATTAAAATCGAAATAGCAAAATTGATCAAAGAAATCGCAATAGTTTTTTTTTCCCATATCGCACAGCCGTAATACTGATTATGAACATCCTTGAAACTTATTTATAGATTTTTAAAGATGCATTAAGCATTTTGATTTATAACTTTTTAAATACAGTTTTATACAAGAATAATTGAATGTGAAAATAATGGCATGGAAATATGCATATTTTTCATGCCTAAAGAGCTCATAGCACAGTTATGCTGTCTAAGCTGTACTGTGGTAAATGCAAATAGTTATGTCCATTTGAGGCAAGTTATCAACAGCAGCCGGGCATTTTGTCAGCTCGTGTGGTCTACTGATTTGTTCAAATCACCCAGTGATAACCAATTGTTCTGCAGTGTCAATTGAAATCCTGTTGTCTGAGGCTCCCTGTTTTTTGTTTCTCTCTTCAGGTAAGAGTAAGGAGGCCGAGATCAAACGCATAAATAAAGAGTTGGCCAACATCCGCTCAAAATTTAAAGGAGACAAGGCTTTGGATGGATACAGCAAGAAGAAGTATGTGTGCAAGCTGCTCTTCATCTTCCTTTTGGGCCATGACATTGACTTCGGCCACATGGAGGCTGTCAACCTGCTCAGCTCCAACAAGTACACTGAGAAACAGATTGTGAGTAAAACCATCTCAAATATCCTACTGTGTGTGGATGTGTATATTAGGGTGCTTTCACACCTGGCTCATTGTTTTCGGAACCTGGCACGTTTCCCCCCTTAGCTCGGTTCGTGGTGGGCATATGTGAACACGGCAATCACGCCCGGATCCGCACCAAAACAGTCGGTCTGAGATCGCCTGAACGAGGTGGTCTCGGCTCGATTGAAAACGAACTCTGGAGCGGTTCGGTTGTAGTGAGAAAGCAATCCGATCTAACGGACCAACGAACCAGGCTATATCACAATGTATAATGGGTAATTATGTAAATTCCGTGAAAAGCATTAACTTTGTTGTTTTGCTAGTACTTCAAAATGAACCTGTGAATGTCTGTGGGTGAGCATGTCTTCGCCATTCAAAATAAAAAAGCGCACTTTTTCATTTTATAATGCCGTCTTATTGCTCTTCTTCCTAGTAGGTGCATTTTAAAAATGTTTTCCAGATGAATCCTGGACTCCTGCTCAAAATGATAAATTAGTATAAGGACAGCTACAAAAAAAAAAAAAAAAAAACTGTTGTCGTTCCATCCTGACGGGTGAAAGCCGTGACAGCTAAGGGGAATCTTGGAAAATAAACCGTGGAACTTTGACCAATGAGACAACCGTTTACTCGCGCGTGACTTGTATTAACAAATTTGGTCTGTTTAGAAACATTGCCATATGAAAGCGAACTGCACCAAGAATAAAAAGGAACATTGTAATAATTGTAATCCCTGTTTCGGAACAAAGCAATCGACCTGCAGGTATGAAAGCACCCTTAAAATCTTGAAGGAGTGTTGTGTTAAGGTGTTTTGAAATGTTTTTTGTTTGTCTTTTTTGTTTTTTGGAATTGTAACACTGTTGACTTTGTGAGTGTTTGCAAGCTTGTATTTTTCTAGCAAGTTATTGCACACTTTACTGCCGCTCACAGGCAGATTAATTACACTGTTTGGCCAGTGAAGTGGACCAAATGTATAAGGAAATGATGCAAAATATGACAACTGCACAGGAAATAGTTGCATATCAGGATTATAAGGTACACAAAGTGCAGTAGTGTCTGAATTCATTCATTTATCCTGGCATTCATGTGGCATTCACAATGCATTTATTAGTGAATAAGTCAAAGTGTGCAGTGTCGAACACCGCATATACAAGAAAATATAATAGTTTGTAATGCCTCTTACATGCTTATGTTATCTGACTCTCCTCATGAGTTCAGTGCCATGGCAAGATATCATGAATGAACCTCAGCAAAGACTAAATGTTTTCAGTTTTCTCTTCTTTCAATGAGAGATACTCTCTTTTGTCTGCATAGAGACATGTAAATCATTACTTGTGCAAATGATATGCAGGATATTGACTACATTACACTGTTGGAACAAACAGATCCAGTGTGCAGTGTTAACAGCTTCTGAGGTGTAACTACCAATATAAACTATTTTGGGGAGTTTTTAAAAAAGAAATTAATATTTAGTAAGGATGCATTAAATTCATCGAAAGTGACAGTTAAGATATTTATAATGTTATAAGTTTTCTGATTTATGTAAATGCTGTTCTTTAGAACTTTCTATTCATCAAAGAATCATGAAAACCTGGTTTCCACAAAAATATATAGCAGCACAGCTGTTTTCAACATTGATAATTAGAAATGTTTCTTGAGCAAATCAGCATATTAGAATGATTTCTGAAGGATCATGTGACACTGAAGACTGGAGTAATGACTGCTGAAAATTCAGCTTTGTCTTCACAGGAATAAATTACATTTTTGTAAATTATAATATTATTGCATTTTTAATCAAATAAATGCAGCTTAATTGAGAATAAAGACACTTATTTCAAAATTTACCGACCCCAAACTACAGTTGAACAGCAGTGTAACAAAAGTATCTGAATTTTATTACTCTGCAGTTTTACCCTTGTGAAAGTTGTCTTTTATAGATGTGAACATCTGATGAGCATGGCTAGTGAGAGTGAGCAACAGATGTGCTTTTAGCTTGTCAAAGAGGCTTAGTGGCACTCCATGCCATGTAGACCTACCATGAGGTCTAATTATCTCCTGCTGATCAAACACCCACTCTAGTAGCCACACTCCCATCAGCCACGCAGCTCTCCACAGGGTAACACTGACAGAAGCAGGGCAGAATCTGGTCAATCTGAGCATGTTTCGGTTCTAAAAGGACAACAAACTGAGGGCCATTTTGAGTCAGCTTATCTTTTTGCTTGAAAAGGAAAAGCATTAAAATAACATTTACAATGCAAACTAGACGACAACATGTGTTGTCACTAAACTCCACATGGCCTTAGCATTTGTTCTTGGATAATGCTGCACATGGCATTTACATAGTGCTGATGAATTGTGGAAGGGTTGTAGAGCACACCAGATCTTTTGTTTCCTGTTGCAATTTTAAACACTGACATAAACTAGAAATAAGACGAAGTCATGCATCTTGTTAGCCTTTGTTAAAGTCCTTTTCACTGCAAGACGTTATAGTATATTGCTGAAGAATGAGGTGATGTCATCATGTTTTGACCTACTCCTCCCATACGGGTCAAATACATTCAATACAATATTCAGTTTCATGTGAGCCCAGCCCAAATATTCAAAGTTTCTTCACTCAAATGAATACTAATTTCCTTATATAGAACTCTAAACGGCATCTTACAGTTTTCTGTGATTGTTAAAAGGAGACTTATAAGCACATTAGAAATGTGATTTAGGTCACTGAACGGCCTGCTGTGTGGTAAGATTTGGTCTCTCAAACTAAACAGTGAGTCACAGCCTACAGCTAACAGTTTCAACGCAACCATTAGCCGGAAAATTCCGCTGCTCTTCTGATATATGATATGCTATGTCTTGGATGCTGAATTTTGCTGCAGAATTTTTTTTTTTCCCTTCTGTTATTTATTTTGTTATATATAACGAATAAATACAGTAACACCAACAAACAAACAGACTAATAAGCAAAAGGCACTATAATTTACAATATAGTTATTTACCGATACATGGCAGAGAAAAAAAAAAAGTAAAAGTCATCCGGGAACAGGCAATTAGCGTTTTTGTAAAATTCTAAGCAAAGGCTACCAGAGTGAAGATTGTATTCTTGTTAAATTCAGTAACTGTAATAATGGAGTTTCGATACACTGAATGGAGCTAATGATTGAATTTTGCTAGCTGATTATAGTATAATTCAGATGATTCTGATCGTTTTGCAAGACACATTCCTCCAAACCTCCAGACTTTAAAAGCACGTACAACATCATGATGCAGTGAGAGTGGAAAAGAAGCAATTCAAGAGAGCTTCTACCCTTGCAGCAGTGAGGGAGGCACATTAGCTCAGCGAGGGGGAAAATCTCACCCTCGTGGTTTAGTGCTTATCCAAAGAGCTTGCAGGGCTGCCGCTCTGAGCCTGTTTGAAGATGACAGTTCTTCAGTGATGCTGTCTTCATTTCAGCTTTACCGTACACTACCGTAATTTGGCCTTAGTGTGTGTGCAAAACATAAAGCGTAACCATCAGCTTTCTTTTGTTCCTGCCTCTTTTTCTGTGCTGCAGGGATATCTGTTCATCTCTGTGCTGGTGAACAGTAACAGTGAACTGATCAGGCTGATTAACAATGCCATCAAGAACGACCTGTCTAGCCGAAACCCCACCTTCATGTGTCTGGCTCTGCACTGCATCGCCAACGTGGGCAGCAGAGAGATGGCCGAGGCCTTCGCTGGAGAGATTCCTCGCATCCTTGTGGCTGGGTGAGCAACTTTTGGGTTGGAAGGATTGAGTGAGTGAGAGGGCAAAAGTTAGGAATTTAGGTTGATGGATTTAGGTTGAAGGACCTTGCATGTGGAGAAAAAGAGGATTAATAAAAAAGGAAGTGTGTATTTGTGGTGTCACATGTAAGAAACAAGAAATTAGGGCTGGACAATAATTCAATATCAATATGTATCGCAATATAATTTTTTTCCAATAACGGTGATATGACATTTCCAATATTTCGACATATGTACAGTGTTTCCCATACATTGATTTATTTGTGGCGTTTGATTTCATTGAATAAGCGTGAGCACTGCACATTTCAAAATCAAAACGCAGTGCAGGTGTTTTATATGAATGCATCTCTGAAGGGAACCGACTTCAGAGAAAGTTTCGGTGACATTTTCATTTTTTATCTGAAAAAGTAGCGTTCATGAGCAGAGCTGCTTTGATTACAGCCGTTACCGGGGAAACGCTTGTCTAATAATGTGTAAAAATATAATAATTATGTCTACCAAGCTCTGATAATGTATGGAATATCATATTAACAGACTATCCCAATTTTAATAAAATAATAGGCCTATACCTTTAGAAGCACGGATGTGTCTGTCACTTTAAAGGTATGGTTCACCCAAAAATGAAAATTCTGTCATAATTTACCCAGGCTGTTCTAAACCTGCATAAAGTTCTTTCTTTTGTTGAACACAAAAGAAGATTCTGAAGAATGTGGGTAACTAAACAGCTGCTTGTCCTCAGTAACTTCCATAGTAGAGAAAAAATAATCAGACTATCAGAGTCATTGGGGACCAGAAACTGTTTGGTTACCGACATTCTTCAAAGTATCTTCTTTTATGTTCAACAGAAGAAAGAAATTATTACAGGTTTGGAACAACTTGTAGGTGTGTTAACGATGACAAAATTTTCATTTTTGGGTGATCTATCCCTTTAAGTCAGACAGTCCACCGTGAAAAACTGAAATATTTCTCTGCAAACTGTGCGTTCATCATTCGTTACTGGACAGACCCATTGTTAACTTTCCCATTTAGCCCTACATCTGGAGAGCATTGTGTTCAAAGGGCGGACGTGAGCTCCTAGATGTTTTAAAACTGTGCAGATTTACCGCATGCTGACATCGTGTGAAACGGCTTTACAGGCGCGCGTTCTGGAGACTCCGTCGGAAACACAGACACCAAAATGCAATCACGCGCAAATGAGCTTCTCTCTCATGTTCTTTATCCTGGCTGAAGCACATTTGTAATTTTTTTCCAATAACGGTGATATGACATTTCCAATATTTCGACATATGTACAGTGTTTCCCATACATTGATTTATTTGTGGCGTTTGATTTCATTGAATAAACATGAGCACTGCACATTACAAAATCAAAACGCGTCGCAGGTGTTTTATATGAATGTATCTCTGAAGAGAACCGACTGTCTTCAGAAAAGTTGATGACATTCTCATTTTTAGAATAAGCGTGAGCACTGCACATTTCAAAATCAAAACGCAGTGCAGGTGTTTTATATGAATGCATCTCTGAAGGGAACCGACTTCAGAGAAAGTTTCGGTGACATTTTCATTTTTTATCTGAAAAAGTAGCGTTCATGAGCAGAGCTGCTTTGATTACAGCCGTTACCGGGGAAACGCTTGTCTAATAATGTGTAAAAATATAATAATTATGTCTACCAAGCTCTGATAATGTATGGAATATCATATTAACAGACTATCCCAATTTTAATAAAATAATAGGCCTATACCTTTAGAAGCACGGATGTGTCTGTCACTTTAAAGGTATGGTTCACCCAAAAATGAAAATTCTGTCATAATTTACCCAGGCTGTTCTAAACCTGCATAAAGTTCTTTCTTTTGTTGAACACAAAAGAAGATTCTGAAGAATGTGGGTAACTAAACAGCTGCTTGTCCTCAGTAACTTCCATAGTAGAGAAAAAATAATCAGACTATCAGAGTCATTGGGGACCAGAAACTGTTTGGTTACCGACATTCTTCAAAGTATCTTCTTTTATGTTCAACAGAAGAAAGAAATTATTACAGGTTTGGAACAACTTGTAGGTGTGTTAACGATGACAAAATTTTCATTTTTGGGTGATCTATCCCTTTAAGTCAGACAGTCCACCGTGAAAAACTGAAATATTTCTCTGCAAACTGTGCGTTCATCATTCGTTACTGGACAGACCCATTGTTAACTTTCCCATTTAGCCCTACATCTGGAGAGCATTGTGTTCAAAGGGCGGACGTGAGCTCCTAGATGTTTTAAAACTGTGCAGATTTACCGCATGCTGACATCGTGTGAAACGGCTTTACAGGCGCGCGTTCTGGAGACTCCGTCGGAAACACAGACACCAAAATGCAATCACGCGCAAATGAGCTTCTCTCTCATGTTCTTTATCCTGGCTGAAGCACATTTGTTTCAATCTATAAGAATATTCAGCCTACACTACCAGTCTAAAGTTTTTTTAACAGTAAGATTTGTAATGTTTTTTTTATTTTATAATTCTCTTCTACTCACCAAGGCTGCATCGATTTGATCCAAAGTACAGCAAAAACAGTAACATTTTGAATTATTTTTACTATTTAAAATAACTGATTTCTATTTGAAATTATAGAAATTTTATTTAGCACTGCAATTTAATTTAATTTATAATACTTTTATTTAGCAAGGATGCGTTAAATTGATCAAAAAGATTATAATGTTACAAAAGACTTCTATTTCAGGCAAAAGCTGTTCTTCTGAACTTTCTATTCATCAAAGAAACCTGAAAAAATTCTACTCCTTTGTTTTCAACATAATAATGTTTTTGAGCAGCAAATCAGCATATTAGAATGATTTCTGAAGGTGACTGGAGTAATGATGCTAAAAATTCAGCTTTGAAATCACAGGAATAAATCACATTTTAAAATGTTTTCAAATAGAAAACAGTTCTTTTAAATAGGGATGCTCCTATCCACCTTTTTCGCCTCTGATACCGATTCCGATACCTAGGGTTCTGTATTGGCCAATACAGATACCGATCCGATACCAGTGAAGTTTTTTTTCCCTCATTTAAATAAATGTAGAATTTATATATCTCTGTGTGTGGAACTGATAATCATTCTTTCACAATCTACTAGATACAGTCTACTTCATTATAAAGAAAAATAAAAGAAACAAATATGAAAAAATATAGACCTACAGTGGGGCAAAAAAATATTTAGTCAGCCACCAATTGTGCAAGTTCTCCCACTTAAAAAGATGAGAGAGGCCTGTAATTTTCATCATAGGTATACCTCAACTATGAGAGACAAAATTAGAAAAAAAAATCCAGAAAATCACATTGTAGGATTTTTAAAGAATTAATTGGTAAATTCCTCGGTAAAATAAGTATTTGGTCACCTACAAACAAGCAAGATTTCTGGCTCTCACAGACCTGTAACAACAGTGTTCTGTGAGTGAAAATATATCTGTGCTAATCATATACTCAACCTCCAGCTCACACACTGGCGATTAAAATCTGAGAATTTATTAGCCATCGGCTAATATTAGGCATCATTTAGTCGCCCAGAGTGAAGATTTAGTCACATATGTGAGTGATTTACTCGCAATGTAGAGGGTTGACAGTCTATGAGCACGAAGCACATTGTAAGCACTTCGTGTTAAAAACTGCAAAGCACAAAGGGAAGATCCATTGATGCGTAGTGTATTATATCTGTGCAACAGTTATTGAGCCTTTCTTTTAACAATTTTAAATTTCAGTTAATGTGCACGTTAAAAACAATTTATAGTCTTTTCTACGCCCGTGTTTATTCTCACAGACACCCGGTAGCAAGTAACAAAACAACATTAAACTCCGGCAAGAAGATAAAGTCCTTTTTGCAAAATCATAGACATGTATTTACAAATCAAGTATAATGGGAACACAGAATGATCTCGGAGAGAGCTTTACCGAGCTGACTGCTGTAACCGAACGCGACCAGGGTTTAAAGGCTGAATGAATGACTGACAGCCACAGCGGAGAAAAGAGTTTGTGTGAACTTTAATGTAAGGACTTAAATATTCATATGTAGCTCACATTAAGCTGTCGTATGGCTTTAGACGTAACACAGAATAATTCACACAATCGATAAAAAATAAATATCGGATTTGGATCGGCCCTCTCTGACCGATACCCGATCCAAGAAAATGGAAGTATCAGAGCCGATACCCGATATGAATATCGGATCGGCGCATCCCTAATTTTAAATAGTAAAAATATTTCTAAATGTTACTGCTTTTGCTGTACTTTGGATCAAATCGATGCAGCCTTGGTGAGCAGAAGAGAATTATATTTTTTTTTCAAAAGGAACTTTGCTGCCATACTATGGGTGCAGCAGGCGCAATGATATTACGCAAGGACTGAAAATAGTCCCCAGCACGCTCCCTGTGCAAGGAGGTGGTCACGTTGGTTATGTTGACGGAAGTTGCGTAATATCATTGCCCCTGCTGCACCCATGGTACGGCAGCAAAGTTCCTTGATTATTACGCCGGAATGAGAGTATAGTTCCTAGCCATATCGGCCTAGAAAATCGCAACTTTTCATTTTACGTCGGTCTTAGTACAAGATGTAATTACAGAAGCGTCAAGTTTTAAATAGAATAAATATAGAAACTCTTTGGTCATTTTTGAGCGAGAAGCTAACGGTCTAATCAGATTCAATCATCTATGCTGAGCTACAGCTAAAGGTGCTACCGCCAGACCCGGAGATCGACTGAATGGATTCGAAAACGGTAAAACTCAACTGTTTAACTCTAGGGGAGTTGGAAAACGAGCCTATTTTAAAAAATAGTGGAGTGTTCCTTTAAGTTTAGGGGTGGATTAAGGGATCTAAAATGCGGTCATGCAGAATAAGGCATTAATATGTGCGTAATAAGTACTAATAAACAGTCAATATGATAGTAATATGCATGCTAATAAGCAACTAGTTAAAGGTGGGGTAAGAGATTTTTCAAAAACGCTTTAGAAAACTGATTTGGGCCGACTAGCAAAACAAACTTGTAGCCAATCAGCAGTAAGGGGCATGCCTACTCATGATGTGGAGGAGAGAGCGTTCAGTGCACAGGATGGATATTAGCCGAGCGACAGAAAGATAGAGAATGCGGATAAAAAAACAAAAGAGGAAAACGTCTGCGGAACAAAAGAAGGTACCAACAAAAGTGAGTAACACAGTGTCTGCGCTGCAACAGCTAAAGTCTCTCTAGTACACTGAAAGCGACCGTTGAAAATCATTTGAAATGTGTGTCAATACGTCATGAATAGAACGCAGCAGCAGTTTTCTGTCGGGGATTTGTCGTGTTGTGCCGCGCCGCATCCAGTGTAGACCATAGATATGTATATATATCTATGGTGTAGACAGCATCATTGATTCTAATGAGTTATACAGTATTTTGTCACGCCGCTCCACTCGCGTCCGGTGTAGACACGGTGTAACATTTGGTTTTGCTTTTTCACAGAACTAATCGTTGCCTGGGTTGCGTACGTATGTGTGGGGCAGAGCTATCAAAATAGGGGCGAGACCCTTTTGGGGTAGGGTGATTGTTTTGGTGATTTCAAATATCAACATTGGCTACCAGAAATCGCTTACCCCACCTTTAATAGTGAGAATTGGTCCTTAAAATAAAGTGTTACCATTTGTCCTATGTTGCTTCCATAACAGGTTTTCTTTTAAACTAGTGGAAATAAAACATCCAAAATACACATTTAATTATTTAATTAATATATATATATATATACACACACACACACATTAGAGCCGTGCAATTAATCGAAATACAGTTTCGATTTCAATTTCTGCTTCCAACGATTATGAAAATACAATAATCAAGATAAAAAGATTATTGTGCCCCATTCCACCCCTTTCCAGCGGTGCAGTTTCACTTTCCATAAAAGCCCAATTTCATGTGCAAATCAGTAAAATTGTGTAATGTTACTTTCGCAAAATGGGACGTGCTTGATTTATTCGTGTTTTTAAAAGCACAAAAGAGAACTTGCACTGTTCTGTGCATGCCCTCTGACACGGAACAAAACAGACAAGTAAAGTTAATTTTTAACTTAAGGTGCGTTCCTAAATGGTCAAATACACACAAAAATGTGTCACAAAATACAAAGAGAAAATGACTGGTTCTTGACTGAAGGACTTTTGTAACATTAAGACACAAAGCAAGTTTAATTCTTACAGTGAAGACAATGCTGTTTTATTTTATATTTGATTATTCAGTTTCTGTAGTAGGCTGTTAGCTGAATACTTTAAATTTAAAGCACTTTTTGTTTCATTTGTATCTTTTTTCTATTGTATTTGACCTTTACTTTTTGTTTTTGTTGTATTACTGAGTTTATTTTTCAATTCTTTTTGAGGATTGTTATATTTTATTTATTTTTTACTTATATAAGTTGCCCTATTATTCTGCTGTGTTATTGAGAATTGTGAAATTTCACTGCTATCTAAAATGTAGATGTCACAGCAACTTTATTTACTGAAAATGTATATTTGATATATATTGCTATCTTTAAATTAATCACTTATATAAAGTTTTGATCATATGACCCACTCATAATCGTGTTAAATAATCGTGATTACGATATTGACCAAAATAATCATGATTATGATTTTTGCCATACACACACACATATTTTATTCCTAAAACTATGGTGTAAATTAGGGATGCACCGAAATGAAAATTCTTGGCCAAAACCGAAAACCGAAAAAGAGGAAACCAAGGCCGAAAACCGAAACACCGAAAGAAATTATGCCAATTATTAGTACCATTGCATTTATGGCTATGACTGTGTACTAACTTTACTAAAATCAAAGTTAATATTAAAGTTTCAAAGAATAAATCAATTACAAATTATGGAAATATTTATTTAGCACATTGCAACAATGCACAGTATAAAATAAAATTCAAACTAAACGAATATTCGGTGGCCGAATATTCGGTGCATCCCTAGTGTAAATGTATTTTTTCTGGTTGTTGACAGTATTTTCTCATTCATGGAGGGATAAAAAATATATCTAAAATCCCTTCTGTAAAAGCTTTTATGTCAGCAAAATGAAAATTTTGAACCTGGCTTTATCCAATTTTTACTGTGATTAATCAGCTGGGGAAAGTATGGTGATATCTATTAGTTAAGATCTTATTCACACGCAGTGTCTTGCCAGACGATTGTTGCTATAGATAACTAATGTAGTTCCTATTCTAATGGCAGGGACACGATGGACAGTGTGAAACAGTCAGCTGCTCTCTGTCTCCTCCGTTTGTATAAGACCTCCCCAGACCTGGTGCTCATGGGAGAATGGACCTCTAGAGTGGTGCACCTGCTCAATGACCAGCACATGGTAAGTCTAGCACATAGGAAACCACAACCTCATGATGTTCACACACATATCTGTTGATGTATGTAAAAAAATGTTGTGGTTATTGCGTTTTAAAAGGCTTCTTTCTGATTTCTGGTTCTGTTCTGTTTTTCAGGGTGTGGTCACTGCTGCGATCTCCCTGATCACCTGTCTCAGCCAGAAGAACCCTGATGAGTTCAAGACCTGTGTGTCGCTTGCTGTGTCACGACTCAGCAGGGTGAGTGTGTGTGCGCGTGCACACGTGTTTATGTGAGCCTATAGACCAGAGTTTCCTGAATAGGCTGCAATCTTTTGGGGGTTTGTGAGAGTGATGAGAATGCCAATGCTTTTTATGAATGAATTTATGCATGCAACTTTCTGTTCAACAAAGTTGATAAGAAATATTTCTTGAGCAGTAAATCAGCATATTAGACTGATTTCTGAAGGATCATGTGACACTGAAGACTGGAGTAACGACAGGCACAGGAATAGATTAGTGCTGGGTGGTATGACCAAAAAATTATATCACAGTATTTTTCAAAATCATACCGGTTTGACGGTACATGACGGTATTTTTTTTTTCATGCATGACTGGGTGTTAACCATATTTTCTACTGATTGAGAGAGGAAATACTGCAGTATATTGACTTAGAATGCCCTATTTTACTGTTATGATGAGTGAATATTGTCAAAAAAATACCACACTAAATGGTGACTAAACATTCTAATACATGTTAACCAGGAGTCACTCTTATTTATAATCGCGGCATCGTCTGATAAAATCAACATGCATCTACACTAAAGAGCGGCTATGCGGTTGTTTTGGCTATATTACTTTTCTCATCGCACTGCTTGTGTCTGAGTAACAAACAAAAAAGTGCATGTGATATTAACTGATGAACTACGCTCATATTTATAATTCCAAACAATCAGTAAGCGACAGGTGCTAAGAAACGCTGTTTTGTACTCATTTATTGATGAGTCGGCTGCGGTGTGGCCAACTGAATGCGCTGCTTCTCTGCCGCTCACGGCACAGAACAGACGCAGAGAGAGAGGTGACACTTCTCCCGGAAAGTCAGACCTCGCGTTGGCGGGACAGCACTGGCGAAATCTTCCAACTGAACCATAGCTAAGGTTTATCCCAAAAAGTCACTAGGTTTGTCAGTATGAGCATTCTATGGAAAAAAGCCGCTAAAAGGGTCTGAAAGTTGCTAAATCTAGTGCTAAAGTCACGCTTGTGTGTGTGTGTGTGTGTGAGACGCGGGAGCTGATGGCAGGGGGTGGTGGATATTTGTGGCGGTCAATGTGGATATTGTGGATGAGTTTTTCTGTGTCATCACGTTCTATTAGTTCTACAGCTTCAGTTTTGGAACTTTCACTCTTAGTAAGTAACACATACAGCTGCTCCCTCACCACAGTGCAACAGTGAAAAGGGACCCCTTTCAAACAGTGTCGCGTTTCGAACGTTATTTATTGTGGTATTTTATAAATTCATATCTTAACAAAAATAAACACCGTTATTCAGTATGAACCGGTATACCGCCCAGCACTAGAATAGATTACATTTAAAAATATATGAAAATAGAAAACAAGTTTTTAAATGGTAATAATATTTCACAATATTACTGTTTTACTATATTTTTAATCAAATAAATGGATCCTTGATGTGTATTTAACTTAAATGTAAAATGTTCATTCAATGTAAAAAGAATAGCAAATAACAATACAAATATTTCATAAGTTAATATTTAATATTGGTTGGGTTAACATTTCTTTATAATGCATTGCATTAAGTAAAAAAAGCAAAAATCAGCAAAACTCAGCAAAAATCTGTTGTTGGTCTTTTCATTGTTTTTTTTTTTCTTTTCTTTATTTGCCATGTTTTGTCACTAAAAAAACACTTGACAATAATTTTATGAAATTTCTTGCAGCCCCAAATTCATGTGTGCTAATCTTTTATTCATTCATGTTTTTTTCCATTCTCAGATTGTGTCTTCAGCCTCCACTGACCTGCAGGACTACACCTACTACTTCGTTCCTGCTCCGTGGTTGTCCTGCAAGCTGCTGCGACTTCTGCAGTGCTACCCACCGCCTGAGGATGGTGCCGTTAAGGGACGGCTGGTAGAGTGTCTGGAAACTATCCTCAACAAAGCCCAAGAGCCACCCAAATCCAAGAAGGTTCAGCACTCCAATGCCAAGAATGCCATCCTGTTTGAAGCCATTTCTCTCATCATCCACTATGACAGGTGCACGTTGTCTCCATTTCTCTTTTTACAAACAACTAAAAACGCACAGCTAATTTTAGGAATAATTTTTGTACTTATGGCTTCATGAATGATTTATATAAAAATGTATTGCGCTTGTGTTTTTTTATTAATTGCTTTGTTTAAATGATCTAATATGATGTTTTGATGGCTTTATTTGTATTTAGAATTTATCTTTTGTATTTAATCTCTCTTCATGGCCCGATTCTCAACAGTGAGCCGAATCTTCTTGTGCGGGCATGTAACCAGCTGGGCCAGTTCTTACAGCATAGAGAGACCAACCTGCGCTACTTGGCCCTGGAAAGCATGTGCACCCTTGCCAGCTCTGAGTTTTCCCATGAGGCAGTTAAAACGCACATAGAGACAGTCATCAATGCCCTGAAGGTAAATGGATAGATTCTGCATTCTTACGAAACAAGATCTGTCTTTTATTTTTCAGCAATAATTTGTTATTTTTTTATGGCAGATTCACTCTTTATTATTCTTGGGCACTGTTTATAACAGTTTAATTCTATTTATTCTGCTGGCAGACTGAGAGGGATGTCAGTGTGCGTCAGAGAGCTGCTGACCTTCTCTACGCCATGTGTGACCGCAGCAATGCCAAGCAGATTGTCGCAGAGATGCTGAGTTACCTGGAGACAGCCGACTACTCCATCAGAGAGGAAATGGTGCGTCTCTTTTCATCTCTTCCGTGTCTCTTCATTCACAGGTCATTGTTTTAATGTGTGACTACTGTGTCTGTAGGTACTGAAGGTGGCCATCCTGGCAGAGAAATATGCAGTAGACTACTCCTGGTATGTGGATACCATTCTGAACCTAATCCGCATTGCTGGGGATTACGTCAGTGAGGAAGTGTGGTACCGTGTCATCCAGATCGTCATCAACCGTGACGATGTGCAGGGATATGCAGCCAAGACAGTCTTTGAGGTAAATGACACCAGATGTTCAAATTGTCATTTCTTGAACACATTCAGAAAATTGATTTCCGCCATCATTATGACACTTCATGTTTCCTGCTCTCCTTTTTTTTTTCACAGGCTTTGCAGGCTCCAGCTTGTCATGAGAACATGGTAAAGGTTGGAGGCTACATCCTGGGAGAGTTTGGTAACCTTATTGCTGGTGATCCTCGTTCCAGGTGAGTTATTTAGCCACTCATATCGGCGTTTTCTGACATCACAGATTTTTATCTTACTGCTATACTAATGATGTCCTCTTTTTCTTTTTCTTTTTTACTTTCTATTTCCTTCATCTTTTCTATAATCTGAAATTCATCAAACTGTTCCTATTCATCCCACCTCTGTTCTTCCATCTCACTAGTCCTTTGGTTCAGTTTAACCTGCTCCACTCTAAATTTCACCTGTGTTCAGTCCCCACGCGTGCCCTTCTGCTTTCTGCCTATATTAAGTTCATTAATCTGTTCCCGGAGACAAAGAGCACCATTCAGGAAGTGCTGCGCTCCGACAGCCAGATCAGGAACAGTGATGTTGAACTGCAGCAGAGAGCTGTGGAGTATCTCAAACTGTCCTCCATCGCCAGCACCGATGTCCTGGTGAGATCACACTCTTTTTCACACACTTTGTTGATTTGTGTCTCACCGTTTATTTGTATAATCATCTGTGTCACTGTGTGTAACTGTAGGCCACAGTTCTTGAGGAGATGCCTCCATTCCCAGAGAGAGAGTCGTCCATCTTGGCCAAGCTGAAAAAGAAGAAAGGACCAGGAGCCGTGTCTGTGAATGAGCTAGAGGAGGGAAAGAGAGAGGGAGGAGAACTCAATGGAGGGGGAGAAAGAGGAGGAGACGGCTCTGCCATTGCTGCATCTAATGCTGTGAGAGACACAAACAAATATGGAAAACACTGCTTTGAAATTTTTATATCTGTGCTACAGTTAAAAAGTTGGGGGTCAGGGTTGCATTGGACGCAAGAATGCATTAAATTGATCACAATTGACAATTTATAATTTTACAAGAGTTCTCTTTCAAATCAATGCTCTTCCTGTGAAATTTCTATTCATTGAAGAATCCTGAAAAAAATTATCAGCATATTAGAATGATTTCTGAAGGATCATGTGACAGTGAAGACTGAATTATTCAGCTTTTCCATCACAGGGATGAGATATGTTTTAAAATATATCAAAATAGAAAAGTTATTTTAAATTGTAATATTTCACAATAATACTGGTTTTGACTGCATTTATGATCAAATGAATGCAGCCTTGGTTAGCATAACAGACTTATATATATATATATATATATATATATATATATATATATATATATATATGTACATATATATGGTTGTA